ACTATTTTTGAGGAAGCCCCGTCCCCAGTGGGCGGAGTCTACACCTGTCACCTACCATTAGTTTTGCCATCTTGCCGCCTACATCTCTGCCAAATTTGAATACTCTAGGCTCAGAAGCAAAGGATTTACAGATTTCCGGTGAGCTACACTATTCGCGCAAGCCCCACCCCTAGTGGGCGGAGTCTAGCTTAGGTCACGTGCACCCAAGGAGCTCGGCTCATTCCCCACTTGCTCCAATCTGTCGTAGCTGTTTCAGTTGATTTCCAAGCGGCACAATATACGATAGTGTTACAGGCAAACAGACAAACGTACAAACAAACGGGCATTTGCGGTTTATATATGTATAGTAAGGATACATGCATATTATAAGCAGAAAACCGATACAGTAATCGTCGCCGTATCCGCCAAAAGCTCAGAATGTCAGATTCTATGAATCCTCATCGAACCCTGCCATGACCTTCTCATTGTTTCTACCATTCACGGAAGATTTGAGTGCTTCACTGCGATCAGCCTGGGCAGCTTTGTGCGTTTAGTTGACGTAGAGGACTATTATCTCCAGTAACGGTTGGGGTTGGATTAGTAAGGAAGAGGGAGCCAGTAACGTTATGTGTAGACGCCTGGCTAGTCCCACTAGGCGGTCATTTCGTAAAAGCTTGCTTAAAATTCCAAAAAAAAANAAAAAAAAAACATGGAAATTCCAAATTTCAAAATTCGACCCATGAGAATTTCCGGTAGACACATTCTGCACTCCCCAATATAGTGCGTGTAATGTATAGATAGATCTGTTCCTACTAGAACTCAAAACAGCAAGAACATTTTCCCTGAGGCAGACTCTTTTGGGCTATTTTCGAAGAAAGGGAGAATCAAAACGACATTCTCCCGTAACATTTGAGCACAATCTAACCCCACATTATTATCCTCTCATCCGGAAAAAAGCGAAATAATCAGGGGACGGACCTCTTGATGTCGCTCGATAAATTCGACCCAAAACGCAGCATGTGTGAGTTCTGTGTAGGGCACATCACGGACCATATCTTGGAATACCAACATCTCCTCCTTGTAACTGGAAGATATAATTCATACGATATTTCTTTTATGAATCAAAATATTTTCTCGTTACAGAGAGAAAGGTGTCATGTTCCGAGGGGAACTGTAGTCCACTAGCTGGTTACTTTGCCACATAAAGAATGTAAAGAAAGCTCACGTTTTCTTGCGGATTTCTATTAAGCTTTCAATCAGCTTCTTTTCAGAAAACTCCTCCTTAGGTATGAGCAGACCAGCTCCCCGAGCGCTAATGCGTAGTAAGTTATCGTGACCTGAAAGTGATTAGAAAGTAACGCTCGTTTCAGTCCATGAGCACTTCTGATTTGACAGTAGAATTCAATATAAGGATAAAATCTTGGGGCTTTGACTAATCCCATGTGAGGGATGCGCTCACACATTCGACTTCCATTCAGAGCCGTATTTGTGTATTGAATGCATACGTGGCCTGTACAATTACTCGCGGAGGCCAGGCCGATCGCAGTGAAAATGTACAAGTCAGTGCTTTTATCTTCCCAGACGTGTCCGGTACCAATTAAACGTACCCGGAGGATGGAAGGCTTGGTTGGCCCATCACACACGCATGGTCACGGGATTCGAACCCGTGACCATGGGTGTGTGATAGTGCGCCACTTGCCGCTGCACCACCTCCGCCCATTCATTCATGAAAACATCAACATGACTGTGCATTTCACAGTCATTAATTCTTAGACTTGCTAATAGAAAGAGCTCTCTATTGAACGTTGAGGTCTGAAAAAAAGGAATCGTGAAAAAAAAAGACAAACCGGCAACCGTAAGCGGAACGCCAATTGTTGGAACACCATGCCATACCGATTCGATAACGCTGTTCATGCCACCATGTGATATGTGTGCCCGACATTTTGCATGCCCTGAATGCGAACACTGTAATGGTTGAAGAAGGTAGTTGAGAGATTGAGCCTCAATAAGCTCTTGTTTTTGCCGGAACGCTAACAAATCACTGTAACAGCGTTACCAAGAAGGTCCTGCTGTGGTAACCATGCCTGTGTGAATACATTCTTCGGAAGGTCACTAATCGGTCGCCCATTGTACTGCCAGATGAACTTCACTTTGGGCAGAGATCGGAAGGTATTTAGGTAGACATCCTGAAGTGCAAATCCATTCATTTGAGTTGAAATTCGGAAAATAAGGCATTAGCCATTTTGGAAATAAGCAGAGTGGAGTAAAACTAGGCAGCACAGCCTGTGATTGAGCTAAACAACAAGATGCTCCTTCATATAAGCAAGGCCGGATAATCAAGCTGAGAGAAGAAAGATCTGATGAAGCATTCCGATAATATTCAGGAATAGAAAATGGCCTGCTTTAGTTTATTTCGAGGTATCGATCAAGATCGATTGGATCGAAATCGCCCAGTTATTAAAATCCGTATTCTCTACAGCTGATCCTTTGTTCCTCCTCCACAGGCCAGACGATAGTCAAGCCGATTTATGCATTGATTGTGCTTCTTTCCTTTTTCAGCTCCAAACTTGGCTGATTTGATTTGCCCCATCCATCCGAAGCTATGGTGCTCAAGGATATCGACCGATTGGTTGGTACCACCTTGCCAGGAATGTAGTGCGATTCTATTGCCGAGATAAAGGTCGTGCCGACTCGAAGCTCATTGCGATTGAAATTTACTTTCGCTGTCGCGAACGTGAATGATACAAAGATACGACTGAAGGAATACTCTGAAAAGGCGACTCGATTTCTTTTCTGAAACTAAAAATCATGTTTCTTCGGTTGTCCAAGAAATAAAAGCTCGGGAAACATGTCCGAAGAATTAGCCTGCACGTCCGTATGCAGGCTCACTCTTCGGGCATGTTTCCTGGTTTTTTTTTCCTGGAATTTCGCTCTATTTTTCATTGCATATGTAACTACTATCAAGATGAAATGCGCTCATTTGTTAGAAATTGATTCTTCAAAATTTGTCTTCGTCCTCCCTTGCATGGCATTACGCGCCACAAGAACTACAGCTGTTTAGCGAAGCTTCTAGCAAAAGTCGATGGGAATGGCCTTTTCCGCGAGTTCTCGAATGTACTGTTCAATCGGGATGGGGGTCCCGCGCAGTCTCCACCCATTTGTCACTCATAAGTTCTACCGCACTCACCATGGTCGCCCACAGTCAAGGAGGTAAAGGACGAGGCAAGACGGGATCGGCTCTGCGTATTCGTAAGGTATTCCGCGACAACATTCAAGGCATCACCAAAACAACAGTTCGTCGTTTGGCACGACGTGCTGGAGTTCGGCGTATTTCTGAGCTGATCTATGAAGAGACTCGAGCGGTTCTAAAGAGATTTCTTGAGGAACTCATCAGAGCCGCTGTTATCTACTGCGAGCACGCCAGACGCACCACCGTCACAGTTATGGATGTCGTCTACGCCCTCAAGCGACAAGGGCGCACCGTTTATGGTTTCGGAGGTTAAGGACGTCCGGCTACAAAATTCGACGTTCATTTGATGAGTTGATTCATGTTGCCTTTTTGCATACCACCTGTGTGTTCTTCTTCAAGATAAATCTTTTTTTTTAAATTTCTGTTTGAACTGCCAAGAAGAGTTGAATCACAGCCATAATTTCTAGTAATTATTCGTTTTTACTAGCTCCCAATATGTTACCTACGGTGTTAAGTGGGATTCCGTTAAGTCTGAAAGCTCAAGTTCGTGTAGGGCATTGCGTCATGCGCTCGCTTCCAACGCAGTGTAGTGAGCTAACCGAATGTGTGAGCACGTGAGGCTANTAGGATAGCACTTTCTATGTAGGCTAGAAACACTGGAACGCGGCTCATTGACCATAATGAGCGGAAACTTAACAGGATGTTTTGTCGGATGCTTTGTTGAGATGGTAGGATAGTATGAAGCGCTGGAAAACTTCCAATTTGGCTTGACTTATGAATAGTTCGCTCTCCAATACAAACCACGGTTCACTCTGAGGTTTCGGTGAATTGAGCACTAATTTCAAAGTTCCCCAAGGTGGAGAGGGAAGGGAATATAAGGCTGAACAGGACTTTCACTTTGAGACACTGACAGTATTGTCACCCGATCACACACAGTCTTCCTGGTATTGTTGACAGCAGCTTCCTGATGTGACTGATAGTTCTGACTGGCCCGTTCGCTGCCAATTTGCTTCACGAGCAGCGATGCCAATTCTGAGCCTATTCCTATCTGGAATCAATCGATATCAACGATGCAGAACTTATTCCTTCCTCAAGGGTTGTTCCCATGAGTTTTTTGGTGACTGTGGGTTTTTTCTTACTGATGGAGTGCCTGATGCGCATGAGACAGTCGCTTCGATGACTCATGAGGACCTAGTTCCATGGCTGTCCGCACAGATGTGATTGAAACAAAGAAGTTGACACCAGTGTTTACGAAGGACAAATTCTTTTGTGTAGGCATTCTGGAACAACGACGATCAAAGTCAGAAGTTTCCTTGAAACCGCTCTCAATTGCTTGACAATTGACAAAAATTTCAGGGAATTTGGAAAAGTCAACTCAGTGAGCTTTACTAATTTCTAAGTGATTGAATGTCTTTTACAGTGATGTTTTCTCAGACTTCCCTCCCGTAAATGATGACAGTTTTTTAAATTACTCTTCATTCTGGGGTTTTCAACTGCAATACCATGCGCAACCGAATCTGGCGACGGACTGACTTCGGACAACTTGGAAAATTAATCGTTTCATAATATAAATCAAAAACAGAGTGACGGTGCCTTCCAGTCATTCATTTGCAAGCTTCTTGAGTGCTGTAAAGGCTCGTTCCATTTTTGTGACAGAAGCCATATGAAAAATAGAGATTTAGAGATCTCATTTCTACTTTGGAAGGAGTCGTCCCGTTTGACGATTTCTCTCCGTCCCCTAGATAGCCATGCATTATGATTCATATAGTCATTCACAGCTATCTCTGCTAATGAATAACAGTTTGGTATCAAGCTATATAATTTCTGGCTCTTTAGGTTCGAATTTGTGAGCTTCCAACAATTATGTTGTTTTGGAGGGATCTAATAAGCACCAACGGTTTAGAATCGCCTTAGTGAATCACAATTCCTATGCTATAAGGCTACATAACACTGATCGCTTCTTGGTGGTCGATTGGTGCACATCACACAGTTTCAGGTCATGATATTCAAAAGTTATCAACTAAAAGATTAGAACTAGAAGATCCTTCCCAGTTCCATCATGAACTAAGTTACACTTTTATATGGAGAGAGATTGGCTTTTGCGCCGACTGAACGGCACCCAGCTCGATCAGATCAAATTTCTGCCCCACTCTTGGCCTAGAAAATTTATCTGAGGAAAGACTTCCATGCTTTTGAATGGAAAAACTCGATGAAATGTGGCTCAGCGAAAATCTACCCGAATTCCCCGTCGATAGTTCGAGCTGTCCCGCTCAGGGCACTCACGCTCTCCTCCTTACACACAGTGACAACTTCTTGTATTTCTTGCTTATTGAAAGCACAATAGTACGCTGTAATAAAGCAGCTTGTCTTTTCTGCGGTTCTAAGTGGGTGGTAATACAAAACAGAAATTCATTCAAACGCCACAACATCTTCGCATCTACTCGCACATAGTTTTGTTGGGATTAAACTGTATTGCATTGGAATATTCTACCGCAAACGTGTTAGTACTTTGCCACACTACATTCACGAGTTCGACTTCACGTAGGACTGCCTCCGGCTTTTTTATTCGTAGCATTGAAATGACTGATCGAGGGCTAACCTGCTTCTACGTATGAAATCGAGTAATACTAACCTAGCTTAATCCGAATTTTTCATTGGACAGTTTTTTTTCTGCGCGAAATCTGAAAATATTAAGCACGACCATAAAACTTGCCAAGATTTGTTTTGGTGCTTTATCCCACTGAGCTGTGAATCCGCTTGTGATCAGAACGAATCCATCATCATCTGTGGCTGTTTCAACAAAGTCATGCAGGGCCTAGAAGACACATATCACCTCAAAGTTTTTACTTAACATAATTTTGAAACAACGGTGAAGTAAAAGCAGGCTTAGCAGACCATATAATTCGTCCATTATGATGAATTTTGTACATATGGAGCATAAAAATGTCAAAATGTGCACTAAATAAACAAAATAAAGAGCAATGTGAGAAAATTAGGGAAAGTTTGAAAATGAAATGAGATATTTGAAATAAGCTCTACTTGGACTCTACGAAAGCAGGATGAGCATGCTGTCAGCGTTGCTCAACGCGCTTTGGAAAAGACGATGCTCGGACACATGCTTTCTCCATACACACAAGTGCAGAATGGAATCCGGAGTTCCGAGCTCCGTCAGCGAACGAAGATTAGGGATGCCGTTGACTACGCCAAGAAATCGAAGATCAGGTGGGCCGGACACGTTATGCGATATAGTGATGACCATTGGACCAGGGCGGTTACTGACTGGATCCCTCGGGATGTCAAGCGAACACCAGGACGACCGCCATCGAGATGGTAAGACTTCTCACGAAAGCTCTGAACGAAAGGAATGTTGATCCTTGCGTCCCTGCAGCGAATCATTGGACCACTCTGGCTCGTGACAGGGACGAATGGAGACGTCACTGGCGCCCGCTCGAGGAAATCGACGATCAACGGGACGACAGGCAACAGGCAATTTGAAATAAGCTAATAAAAATGATTTGACTCAGAATGAAAGACGGTTCTATAGTCACAAAGTGGTTTTAACATGATTCGTCTGAGGCCCAGCTCACCGTATTTACCCTCCCTTGGATGAGACTTTGACATTGTTCTAGTGTAATGGATTAGTGGCGAAAAAAGTGAGGAGATCCACGAGATGGGCAGAATCGAAAGCTTCGGAATATAATGTCGAGAAAATGGGGGCCGTACAAGACTATTACGACGGAATTGTAATAGAAGAGGTATTTGGACGAGATTCAATCATGCACAACTGCTAAAGAGCTGATCTTTGAAGCCGAAAACTGCCTTCTATTGTCTTCATAGGACACGACAAGTTGTTCAATTTTTTAACATGTGTGTTCCATTGCGGGTGGGTCAGCCTCTACAACTCAGTTATAACACGTCCGCCATTGGGTGTGGACACCGAGAAAGCCGGTCGCTGAGCCTTTACTGTGCCCTAATAAGGCGATTTTCGACTGGACGGAGCCCAAATGGCATATTAAGAAGCCTCTGGGTCGTTATACGTAGGCTGCCTTTTATATTTTGGGATTTGAGAGCAGGAACAAATACTATTCTTTGAAAATCGCTTGGCTGCCTTTCAAAAATCTCCACATTAAGATCTATACACTTTTGCATGCGTTTGAGCCAATTTTTGAAGCACTTTGCCACCTTGATTGAGGTCACTACTCTAAAACATGCATTCTGAACGCATCAACGGCTTCTTCAGGTGTCGAAAAAC